TTGTTTAGCTGGTCGAAAAAGAAACTAGGCCCAGGCCCCTGTGGAGGGGGCGGGGCACATCAAAAGGTTCAATCGTTGCGCCCCCCTGGGCCGAGACCCCATTGACATTTATCGGTGGCTGGGTGGGTGGGTGGCTCGCCTGTGTGCAGCTGCAAATGTGGCCTTAAATCTTGGCCAAGAAATTGGCGTCGAAAGTGGCTCAAGTCAAGCGAACTGGCCTAGCTGAAAAGTTTGCCGTGGCGGGCGTTCAATAAAGCATTTCTCAAACTTATTTGCACCAGGTGGGCCGTTTATTGATTTATGTGTGCGAGGGGCAGGTCGCTCGATTGCCCGCCGTCGCCGTCGTCGTTGGCAATGAGGCCAAAACTGTAAATGACAAAAGTCTGAAAGTCCGAAGGAAGCTGAACATCCGCTGCAGCTTGCATCTAATAACTAAAAGATGATAATAATGCGAGCGAGGCGCGCGAACGGTGCGAGTAGAGCGACTCTACAAACTGGTTCGACCGGAGCGTCGAGCATAAAATAATTAGCATGGGGCCGTTGCTCGCTGCTCGCTGCTCGTTGGGCGATGGGCGCTGAGTCGAGAGCGCTTACATTCATCACAAAAATAACTTCATTGAAGTGGACTTGAGGCTGGGTAGAGCCGCGACTTGGAGCTCGGGCGTTGCCGCAGCACCTGTTCCCCAATTGCAGCCAGCTATAAATATCGCAAAGATGTTTGGCATGCTGCGCGCAAAGGATGCTGTACGCATGCTGCAGCTGCAAACAACTTGTGGCCGGTGGCAGCCACTGGCCAGTCCGGTGTTTAGCAACAGCAACAGCAACAGCAGCAGCAGCTGCTACTAAAGGAAGCCCATTGGCAGGGAAGTGACGCTGACAAAACAAGCTGGCTTGCCTCCTCCTCTCCTCCACTCCCCCTCTACCCTGCTCACTGCGAGTGCAGCCCCTGTTCATCGATGCATCGATTGGCCGGCCAGAGATTTATGTGTGATAAGCGTCGCCTGAAAAATAATTACTGTTGCTGCAGCTAGCATCTAGCTCTGGGGGCAGCTCTTGGCCAGCAAAAATCGAAAACTGGAGCGGAAAGCGTTCGGAGCGGAAATGTTTTTGTTTGTCGAGTGATTGGCATTTCGGTTAACAGCGCTGAGACCCCATGCCGTCGGCCCAGGCCCAGTCCGTCAAGAGCCAGGCCAACTGCAATCTAGCGATTCGAATATGCTTGATCTCGTAATAAATATTTAATTAGCCAAGTGGGATAGACGAGAAGATAGATAATTCGATAAAGAAAAAAAGTATAATAATAAATAAATAAATATATACATAGAAGGAGAGAGAGAGAGAGAGGGAGAGAGAGCAGGAGAGATTTGTAGTGCTAGCCAGATTTGATGGCTCGGGCTGAAAGTGAAATCTCTGGCGATAAAGAAGCAGCAGGAAAAGGCAGAAGAAGCAGCAGACAGTGGACAGCGGACAGCGGACAGCAACGACAAAAAATTGAATGTAGCAAACGGTGTGGGACGGGCGATAAACGAGCGTGTCTATAATCACTTTTAATTAGCGACCATCGCAGCTGCCAGCAAATGGTTCCCAGTCAGACACACACACACACACACACACACACACACACACACGGCCCGAAAACTCAGTGCATGGCTCTAATTTCAAGTCATTTCCAGGCCTTTGCTGGGGTAGGGGGCATAGCTGCTGCTGGAGCAGGAGTGGGGGGGGGCCTCTTAAGTCAAACGGAAGCAAACGCGGTAATCTTTTGCTTTGTGCGTTTTGGGCTGCTCTTTGGTTTTTATGGATTTCTTCTCCAGCTGCTGCTGCTGCTGCTGCTGCTTCTTCTTTCAGCTTTTACAGTGTCTCTGGTTTTTTATGCGCTGCTATAATTTCATGTCTGTGTGTGCGAGTGTGTGTGTGTGTGTGTGCTTAGCGCCAATTTCCGTATAAATGCAATAAAAACAAATAACAGCCGCGAACTACAAGAAAACAAAATTAGTTGAAAAGCAATAGACGCCAAGTGGCGGAAGTGAACTACTTACGACCAAAAAGAATACACACAGAGAGACAGAGAGAGAGAGAGAGAGAGAGAGAGAGAGAGAGAGAGACTAACTTACAAATGTAAACAGCAAAAAAAAAAAATAGTAAAGTAAAATGCGTGAGAAAATCCAAGCAGAGCTCGCAGCTGACTTGCGTACAGGTGAAAGAGTGTGAGGGAGGAGGGGAGCCAAGTTGTGCGCTGATAGAGTTACATATCAGAGCTAACATGATTGGCATCAGAGCTGGGAGCACAAGTGGAGTCAAACTTGAAAGTTATTTAGTTGTGCAGCCAACAGTTCCTTTTCCCCTAATCAGCGATTGCAGCGCACGCAACGCAGCTGATTGCTTAGATGAACACACATACACATACACATACACATATGCACATGTATATGCATACATATACATATGTATATATAATCATACATTATAGTCGTGCTCATTTGGTAAATGCTTTTTTCCATTGAGCCCCCAATCGATACGAAAATCAATAAGAACCAAGTCAACAGCCATCAACGGGGCTCGTGCCATTAGTCCTCCCTCTCTCTCTCTCTCTCTCTCACTCTCTCTCCCCGATAACTGTTCATTTCGAGTGTTAAGTAATTGTCTATAGTTTTTGACTCACTAGCATGGGCACTTACTAAGAACCCTAGCTCAACTATGTTCCTAATTTTTTTTTCATATTTTCAATGTAATCTCTGGTAGTTGAGCCAACCTTATTTAAGATCAACTGTGTCACAGCATTCCATAGTTCATATGAAGATTATTAAGCCTTCCCTGCATTAGAGCACCCGAGCTGCGGCTGATTTCCATGCAGTGAATATAAATATTATTATTTATTATAATAATTATTAATTATTATTATTACAGAATTGAAAAAGAAAAGCATTATCATTTTTTATTCTCATATCAGTTTAAGCCACTTTTTATTATATTTTGACTAATTCAGCTTAGTTGTAAGCATTTTTTTTTATACATTTGCTTTAATTTGTTATTCTTATTTTATTAAGTTTTTTATTTATTTAATTTGTTTCTACTTTTATTTTACTATTATTTTATTTCTATTGCATTTTTAACATTTTTTTTTTTTAATTTATTTAAAATTTTTTTCATTATTATTTTATTAATTTGAATTTTTTTAAATTTAATTTTATTATTTTATTATTATTATTTTAATTTTTAATTTAATATTTTTTATTTTGTATTTATTTTTATTTGTATATTATGTTCATTCTCTTAATTTGTTTATTGCATTCATTTCATTTCTCTTTCAATTAAATTTTATTCCTTTCTCGCCATTCCTGTATTTTCTTATACATATTTTGTGAGATTTTTTAAGACATTTTTATATATATTTTTTTTAATAATTTTGTTTTATCTTTTTTAATTAAAACATTTTTTATTATTTTTCCATTTAATTTATTTTTATTTTTATTTTTTATTTATTTTTTTTTTTTTTTGTACATTTCTTAAATGTATTATTTTTTATGAATTTCTTTTATATTTATCACATCACCATATTGTATCACTATTTTTATATTATTTATTTATTCGTTTTTTTTTTTTCAATTCACATTAATTTTATTTTATTGTTGACATACAATTTTTTTTTAAATTTATATTTTATTTTATTTTATCTCATTCGATTTCATTTTCCACTTTTTCTTTGTTTCCACTTGATAAATAAGTTTATTCTCGCTGCACGTCTACACTGTAATCACTTTCCCGCATAGAAGGGCAATTTTTCAATATTTTGCCAGTGTTGTAAAAATGCTTAAAATATGTTGTGCACTTCGTATTCTATTATAGCGCTCAATATTCATTAAAATGTATGATTTATTTGGCTCATGCATAAAACACCAAAGAGTGAGAGTGTGAGAGAGAGAGAGAGAGAGAACTGTGGACTGCTCTTTATTTTTTTACTTTTGCCCATTTGCTCGTCTAGCAAACCCTTTTTTTTTATTGTAGGCCGCATTTCATATTTCTCTGTTTCTACTTCTCTCTATCCCTCTCTCTCTCTTCTTCTTTTTTTATATTTATGACGCGCGCACATTTTTAACATTTTACGAATTGCTGGGCTACATTTTTGCACATTCCCCGTTTATATGTTTCGGCGGTCGTAAACGTGCGGCGCTCAACCCAACCCAACCCAGTCCAACCCAAACCCATCCTATCCCAACCCATCTGAGCTCAGCCCGTACCAGGCCAGGCCAGGCCAGACCAGAGCAGCGTAAGCTCTGGCGCACTTGAGACTCCATAGAGTCGAGCTAATTTGAATGTTATTCGGCGCTTTCCTGTTGTTTTCTTTTTGCATTTTATGTCTTCTCGCTGTTGCTGTTGCTGTTGCCTTTGCCGTTGTTCTTAGTCGCACACGTTCTGGCCTGTCTGCGCGTAAACATAAATAAAATGATATAAAAACAAGTGAGATTGCTGCAGTCGGCCATTACCGACTGCTCAATACTCATTCACGGTCCAAAGCGCTGATAGATTGACTTACCACTGAGCCACGCCTCCAATGGGCGTCAGTTTGGTCGGCAAGTCTGAGCATGACTTGCCACGCCCCTAGTGGACGCATGGGCATAATCTTGATATTCGATAGTTTGAGTACATAGACGATATATACTTTCCACATGTCAAGTCTCAACGCAGCCAATATGCTCGTTTCACTTGCGTGAATGGGTATACAAAATAAAATAAAATAAAATAACACGCCCGAGAAACATCAACAGTGAACAATATAAACAATAAACGCTAAAATAATACACGACAAGAGAGCCGCGGGCTCTCGATAAATTCGCTTAGCCAGCTGAAGCGAAAATCGAAAATCGTTTCGTTTCAATTCAATTATCGAACAAGTTGTTCGAGTTCGACTTTACTTAACTGTAGCTGTAGCTCTAGCTCTAGCTGTAACTGTAACTTTCAGCTAGACATTGAAGCCAACTCATGTTTTGCTCTCCTTCCAGCCGTGCATGAGGACAATGGTCGGGCAGCTGCTGGCGCTGCTGGCGCTGCTGTTGGCGGCGTGGGGCGCGCAGGCGACGCCATCGCTGTACACGAGCTACCAGAACCAGCGGTTCGCGATGGAGCCGCAGGACCAGACAGCTGTGGTCGGGGCGCGCGTCACGCTGCCCTGTCGCGTCGTCAACAAGCAGGGCACGCTGCAGTGGACAAAGGATGACTTCGGCCTGGGCACGTCCCGGGATCTGAGTGGCTTCGAGCGGTATGCGATGGTCGGCAGCGACGAGGAGGGCGACTATTCGCTGGACATCTATCCGGTGATGCTCGACGACGACGCCAGATATCAATGCCAAGTGAGTCCGGGGCCAGAGGGCCAGCCGGCCATACGTTCCACATTCGCCGGGCTCACCGTGCTCGTGCCGCCGGAGGCGCCAAAAATTACGCAGGGCGATGTCATCTATGCCACCGAGGATCGCCGTATCGAAATTGAGTGTGTGTCAATAGGCGGCAAGCCCGCAGCCGAGGTAAGCAACAACAACACCGTCCCCCCCCACCAACAGCGACTCTACCAGGCCGCAGCATGCCGAAAGTCTACACACACTACCCCAGTCGAAACTAATCAAACAAACAATGGACGGCAGTCAGACCGCGCCATGTCGAGGTTGGCTCTGTTACTGTAACTGCCGCCGGACGGACGAATCGCTAACAGACTCGACTGACTCGACTGACTGGTACCCAAATTGAGCTAACACTAACCCACACAATGTTCTCTCTCTCTCTCTCTCTCTCTCTCTGCAGATTACATGGATTGATGGGCTGGGCAACGTACTAACGGATAACATCGAGTATACGGTCATACCGTTGCCCGATCTACGTCGCTATACGGCCAAATCGCTGCTGCGCCTCACACCCAAAAAGGAGCACCACAACACGAATTTTACGTGCCAGGCACAGAACACGGCCGACCGCACCTATCGCTCAGCCAAAATACGTGTCGAGGTAAGCATCGTCGTTGTCCCCACCCCCCCTCCACCCCCTTTAAAATTCCATTCAATTTCGAATGCCCCGCAACCCCGTACCATGCTGGTCCCTAGGCACCGGCCCGTCGTGCTGTCAGTGTGGCAGAGCGACTGCAATTTCAGCATCAGCACCGGCATCAGTCTGGTGCGGTGAATGGGCCTCGGTCTTATCTCTGGGCCTAGCACAATGCGCTGACGCGTCACAGTCAACGCTTGAGCCAACTATCAATATTACGTGATGGCTGTGCTAGGCTGGGCTGGGCTGGACTGGGCTGGACTGGGCTGGGCTGGGCTGGACTGGGCTGGGCCCATGCTCCGGAAGTCCAGTCCACTCTGATTTATTTTTTTTCTCATTTTTGGGAAGGGGATTTTTCGGTTTTTTGGTTTTTGTTCTTGTTTTTGTGAATGGGCTTCTGTGCTGGACACGGCCGGTGACAGTGATGGGCTAATTCATGGTGAAACATAAGGCATATGGTAGAGGGAATGCTGAAATCCTTAGTTAAGTGAAGGTATGCAATGGCTTACATAGCCCTCTGTCAGCTGTCAAACTGCCTACCCACACTCTCTGTCACACACACACACACACAGGGCGCGTCTCACGTCCCTGTCAATGTCCCACACTGAGATTCCTGACATCAAATTGGGACTCTGTCAGCTGACAAATTCATAAAGCGCTCTCGAAACTAATTATGAATGGTGCCTAATGAAATGTCCCAAAGGAGCGAGCGCAGCTGGAGCTCGCCCGAGCGCGTATTCGATCTAATTAGAATGTACGAATCGATGCAGAAGACGAACCACAATGCTAGGCCGTCTGACGAGAGATCAAAGCAGCTGTCAGTGAAAGAGAGCCCAGCTGGGCAATCTCAGCTTCCGCAGAGCAGCTGGATATTCCTGCAGAGCTCCGAGCTAGACCTAGGCCCAAGAGCCGCCAGCCCCACAGTCTTTCGCATAATTTCCGATGTTAAATGTTCGCATCTTTTTGGCTTTACTCAACAGGTTAAATATGCGCCCAAAGTCAAGGTGAATGTGATTGGATCGGGAGGTGGTAGCGCCATCAATGCTGTCGCTGGCTCTACCGCTGGCGCCGTTCAGCGTATTGTGGAGCATGCACAGGTGCGACTCGAGTGCCGTGCCGATGCCAATCCAAGCGATGTCCGTTATCGCTGGTACATCAACGACGAGCCAATTATAGGCGGTCAAAAAACTGAGATGGTAAGTGCTCCAGCTGCCTCTACCGGCTGCTGCCCGCAACCCCTGCCCCTGCTGCGCTGTTGCGCAATAGAAAAACGTGGCTGCTCGCCGGGCCACGTCCACATTCCAGCATCGGGCCGCATAATTAGAGCAACTTTGCTGCCGCTGCGATAAAAATGTTGTATAATGCTGGTGGGCCGGACGGGCCGAGCCGAGCTGAGCTATTTTGTCATGGCAATTACAACTGGGAAGGGGGGAGGAGCTGGCCAGACCCGGCCGAGAACCAGTTGTGGCGGCAGCCGGAAAGACATAACGTTCCCACAATTTGCCGTCATTCTTGGCAATCCTCAAACAGAATCTCAATCTCAATCTCAAACGCAATCACACAATCTCCATTGGCAGGTCATACGCAACGTGACGCGCAAATTCCATGATGCCATTGTCAAGTGCGAGGTACAAAATTCAGTGGGCAAGAGCGAGGACAGCGAGACACTGGACATAAGCTGTAAGTTCACCTAACCCTACCACGCCCACCCCTACCACCCCTCTGCCACGCAGCAGCCAGCGCTAACTCGACCGCTTTGTCAACCCCAAACAGATGCGCCCAGTTTCAAGCAGCGTCCCCAGTCCATGGAGGCGGACGTCGGCAGCATTGTGTCGCTCAACTGCGAGGTGGACAGCAATCCGCAGCCGGAAATCGTCTGGATACAGCATCCCAGCGATCGGGTGGTGGGCACCAGCTCCAACCTGACCTTCAGCGTGAACAACGAGACAGCCGGACGCTACTACTGCAAGGCGAATGTACCGGGCTATGCGGAGATCTCGGCGGATGCCTATGTCTATCTGAAGGGTTCGCCGAGCATCAGCTCGCCGCGCTCCCAGTACGGCCTGATCGGAGATACGGCGCGCATCGAGTGCTTTGCCAGCAGTGTGCCGCGCGCTCGTCACGTCTCCTGGACCTTCAATGGCCAGGAGATTAGCTCCGAGTCCGGCCACGACTACTCCATACTGGTGGACGCCATGCCCGGCGGCGTGAAGAGCACGCTGATCATACGCGACAGCCAGCCCCATCACTATGGCAAATACAACTGCACCGTGGTCAACGACTACGGCAACGATGTGGCCGAGATCCAGCTGCAGCCGAAGAGTAAGTAGAACCCAAATGATGGCGAAAATCTATCCATAGTAGTAGTAGACCGATCCAGTGTCCCTTAGTCCCTTAGACCCTACCGGCCCGTCTCCTGCTTTGACTAACCCATGCCCGTTTTGCTTTGTTTGACCCCCCCCACAGAGAGCGTTTCCCTGCTGACGACCATCGTGGTGGGCATTTCGTCCGTGGCCGCCCTCATGCTGCTCACCTTCATCATGATCATCTACTTCAAGTGCAAGAAGCGCACCAAGCTGCCGCCAGCGGACGTCATCAGCGAGCATCAGATCACCAAGAACGGCGGCGTCAGCTGCAAAATGGAGCCCGGCGATCGCACCTCCAATTACAGCGACCTCAAGGTCGACATATCCGGCGGCTATGTGCCCTACGGCGACTACAGCACCCACTACAGCCCACCGCCTCAGTATTTGACCTCCTGCTCGACCAAGTCCAACGGCAGCTCCACCATACTGCAGAACAACCATCAGAATCAGCTGCAGCTGCAGCAGCAACAGCAGCATCATCACCACCAGCAACAGCAGCAGCAGCAACAGCAGCAGCAACAACAGTCGGTAGTGCAGAGCCTGCCGATGACCTTCCTAACCAACAGCAGCGGCGGCAGTCTGACGGGCAGCATCATCGGGGCACGCGAGATACGCCAGGAGAACGGTCTGCCCAGTCTGCAGTCGACGACGGCTTCGGTGGTTAGCTCCTCGCCCAACGGTAGCTGCAGCAACCAGAGCACAGCGACCACTACCCATGTGGTAGTGCCCAACTCCATGGCCCTCAGCGTTGATCCGCGCTACAGCGCCATCTATGGCAATCCCTATTTGCGTACATCGAACTCCTCCCTGCTGCCGCCACCGACGGCGGTCTAAGCCGGTGCTCCCACTGAAAGTCCCAGCACCGGCTGCTGCCCAAGCAACCACTCGCAAGACTGATCTCAAGGGCAGCGGGTGCTGGGACAGGAGCTGGTAAAGCAGCTGCGACTGGGGTCGGGTAAGTGTGGAGGATCCTTCAAACGTTTTTAGCAACCAAAAATTCGAATTGTAGACACTTAAGGAACTTAAGGAAAGAGCTCACATGCCGCATCTGAATAGGCAGCACATAACTAGGCTAAAGCATTCGCCAGATGACTATACTAGAACTATATGCACACGTATATGTATATGCATAACTAACTACAGACATACTTAGTATTTTACTCTAATTTGAAATCGATATACATACGTATATATCGATAGGCATTCGATTCTTCTTCTTCAACATTTGTTTTACGCCCAACTTAGTCGAATGAATGTCAGATATTTAGCGTTACAAATACAATTTCTATCGCTAGTTTTAAGTTGACTGTGCGCCTAGAGGCCAGTTCTACATAGCAGATATGATATATACATATATCTATAGACTTTAAATAGTTGATTGCGCATTTACAAGTCCCTAGAAATTGCTGTTAAGACAAACGCCTTACAAAGATTATTTATTACACACAAATTCAACAAAAAATATTCACAAAAATATATATGAGAAAATTGCAAAAAAAAAAATAAGTTTTATATATGATAAAAATTACTAAAAAAAAAAAAAATAAAAAAAAATACTTGCGTGCCTTTTGTTGTGCAAAAAAAGAGAATATAAATCAAATATACATTTGCTTTGCTTAAAATAAAAAAAATAAAAATAAAATAAATTTTAACTCTCTTCCAGTTCATATATCATATAACTATATTCCACATATCCCCCAGTATACCACAAATATACATACATACATATTTCTACAGCTCAAAACTAGGCAACAAAAATTTTCGAGGCGCGCAATAACAAAAAAAAAAAAACTAGAAAAAAATACTATTTAAGCTAGCATATGGAAGCGTTGATTGAGTGTGGCTTGCATTGCTTAAGAAAATTATGCCAAAGTACCTGATAGTATTTAAGATGTGCATTTTTTTGTCGCTCTAGTATTTTAGTGGTAGTTTTTAAGAGAATTTTTTTTTCATTTTTTTTTTTTTTTTTTTTTAGAATTTAAGAATTAAAAAAAAACAAAAAAACGGAAAAAATGCAAACTTAGCAGCTAAATACTCAAACCCTAAGCAGACGCCTTAACTTATGACACGCCCACATTTAAAAAATAAATAAAAAATTTATGAAAAAAGCTAAGCAAAATAGAACAAAGAATGAAAAATAAAAACAGAGTTGAAACAAGTTTCGTAAGTTCAAGCGTACTTTTAAGTGTCTTACGCTAATTAATCGATATATATCGAAATATACATATATATATATCCTAGCTGCAGTATGCCATTAACAGTTACATAATTAGTTTATAACTATATAATATATAGTATAGTCTATAGACATATATAAAGCTAACTTTTTTTTTTCTCTATTATAATGCATAGACTTAGGACAGCCTTTAGCTTTGTGTCGAGTTTTATATACAATATATATATACGATTATATATATACATGAATAAAATTTAAAAAAAACTATTATTTTTTTTCGTTTTTTTTTTTTTTCCTTAAATTAATTAAGTGAATTGAACGAAAATGTTTTATGTATACAAAACAAAATAAGAAAAACAAAAAAAAAAAAAAAAATAAAATAAAAATATATATATACAAATTATATTAAAGAAAGTGAAATAAAAATTTATTGCAAAAAAAAAAAAAGAAAAGTGAAAATTGTTTGAAAGAGTTGTTGGAAAATTGTTTTTCTTTGCATCTTAAACACGGCGCAAGTTCAAAGCGAAACTGGGCAACGTTTGCTCTGCCAGCTGCCAAAAAGTCAAATAAACAACAATTTTTAATTTGACCCACACGCTGGTGGTGCGCCTGGTGGTTGGTTGGTGGGTTGATTGGTGGATTGGGTTGGGTTCGGTTCGGCATTCAGCTTGGGCTGCGGATTGCCAACTGTCGCGTCACAAAACTGTCAGCTGCAAAAGCTAAAAATCAAACAAACAGCAGCGAAATTAAAAAGCAACGCACCACTCGGGCCCAGGCCAGACATATGTGTGTGTGTGTGTGAGTGTGTGCGTGTGTGTGGGGCACATAACAATGGCATCATGCTGGATGCGTTGGGTGAGGTCGTCTGTGGGCCAAGTCAGTTTGCAGTGCAAACAAACGGCTCGCTAAGCTCGACTAAAAATGCTTAATGAGTGCGTAAGTAAGGGTCGCACACAAACACACACACACACACACACACACACACACACACAGAGAGAGTGAGGGAGTGGGAGAGAGAGAGAGAGAGAGAGAGACGTGCTTTTGGTCTATGAGACGCAAGAAAATTTTTGCAGCACGACGCGCGTTAAACCAAATTAGTTGCTTTTGTCACAAACGTAACCCAACGCCCCCCCGCCCCGCCCCCCTCTTCCCCTCCCATCTTTTAGTGGAGCCATAACTATGCGAGCTCGACGTGCACTTAGTCGTCGGAAGTTGCAATTGCGGTTTACTGTGTTAATTGGCTTGACATTGTTGTGGCAACTATCGTGAGTTGCACTCGCACGCATCGTCACTCAATGAGTGTGCGTGTGTGTGTGTGTATGTGTGTGTGTGTGTGTGTGTGTGTGTGTGTAAATCTGACCTGTGATATGCGCCAGCAAACCTATATGCTTACTCGAAACTGAACTGCGGCATTTTATGTGCCTCAATCAAGCAACTCTTGCCCACGCTGTATACCCTGTAATAGGTGCGTATAGAGAGCATATTAGGCCTGCATTCGACTGGATGAAGCTGGATTGTCATCAGAGCGAGCCAACTAAAGCTATATTGTGTGTTGAAAGTAGATGGCATGAAACTAAGGAAAGTTATCGATTGTGGGAATGCTGCAAAAGTCGATATAGCTACCGATAATCGATAATGATCAAGCATTTCCGCACCTGGGGATATATCGGCTTAGCTAGAAATAAACAATCAACTATCGATCATATATTTATATATACATATATTTGGGGACATATCGATTGAGCTACAAATAATCGATTGTTATCAAGCACATTATATAGATGCCTAGGTACCGTAAGTATGTATCGATTCAGCTATACATATATGAACAATCAAGCTCTTACATATATAGATGCCTTATATGTCTAAAGGTATGTCTTGGATTTATATCGCTTCAGCTACAGATAATCGATAATCGATTATGACAGTTCTTTCTATATGCATCCATATATGTATATACAGATATGCATTTAACTGTATATTTACCTTAGTGTATATCGATGAAGCTATAGATGATCGATGATAATCAAGCACTTGTATAGATGAGGATGTATCGACTTATATAGTCGCACAGTGTATGTATACCTGAGCGAATATGGAGTCAGGCTTATCGATATACAATATATAGATGCGTATGTATATCTGAGGATATTTCGATTCAGCCACAAATAATCGATAGTCGATTAGAATCGACCATATTTTGCAAATCTGGGATATTATTAGGTATATACCATCATCTATATATAGATATCGTCATCTTATATAGATACGTATGTACATACATATATCTGAGGATATTTCAATTCAGCCACAAATAATCGATAGTCGATTAGGATCGTTCAGCTTTTGCTAAGTCGAGATATTCTTAGGTATATACCAGCATCTGTATATATACGTATATGCATATAGATGCGTATATATCTGAGCATATAAAGATTCAGCTTCCAACAATATATGCTTATATATCCTAGGATATATCTAAATAGATGAATATATCTGAGGATATATCGAATCAGCTATAGAAGAACAATGAAACAATACATGCTTATACATATATCTGAGAATATATTTAGATGAATATGTCTGAGGATATATCGATTGAGCTATGGGCAATAGCTTATGATTAGGGATTTATATAGACGCGAATATATCTGGGGATATCATCGATTCAGCATTTCTAGATATAGTTATGGATATGTGAAAGTATTTCGATTCAGCTACAGCTACATATCTGAGGATGTATCGATTATAATCAAGCATTTGTATAGATATTTTTATTATGCATATTTGAGGGTATTTAGATTCAGCTACAGATACTCGATTATATAGTTGCATAGATATACATACATATATCGAATGAACAATCAGGGATATATGTTATGCATATAATATAGCCCATATGATCAGCCACGCCTCCTATCGCCCCTCAAGCTAGCCAGCTGCTCTTATCTATCTATCACTATTAAGCTGCTCCTAGAGCTGCGTATTTGTCAAGTCAGCCAAGCTAATACAGCGCGCCAAGTTAATATTTGTTTTACTTGGAGTTTCCTTCATTTTGTTTTTTGTTTTTCACTTCTTTTTTTTCTGGTGGCTTTGCTCACGTTTCGCTGCCAAAGTTCTGAGTTAATCACCCGCCCAGTGCGGTGGCTCGGCGCCATTTTGTAAACAATTGGTGGCTGCAGCGCGTGCATCTGGAGTTGGACGCACGTCATCGCCAGCAGACAGGAACAGAAGAAGAAGCAGCAGCCAGGAAGGGCAAGGAGAGAAGGAAAGAAAATAAAGTAAAAAGAGGAAGAAAAACAAAGAAAACAACAACAACAACAACGGACACAAGTTGCACGAAGAGTTACGATTTCATTAACATGAGATATGGCGAGTGGTTTGCTGTCACCCTCTCCCTCACTCTCTCTCTCTCTCTGTCTCTCTCTTTCTCTTTCTGGAGTGTGGGCTGATTGGGGTCAGCTGCGAGTCGCATTGGGCTGTTTTATGGCTCAAGTGGCTGTGTAGTCGTTGTCGCAGTGCGTTGTGCTGTTAATTGTTAACGCAGTCCAAGGGATGACAACCCCTAGACCCACACCCCCCCTGCCCTGCCCTCCCCCTCCACTCCGTCCTCCCTCATGTGTGTGTTTGAGCGACTTTGTCCATATGATTAGGAAATGTTTTGTTTTTTCACTAAGCACTAAAAATGAAATGGGCGAAACGCTACACACACACACACACACACACGCACACACACACACACACACTCTCACACACACCACAATGGGTAGCGCTTTGGGACATTTGCACAGCCGAAACTTTTACTCCTGCCCTCTCTCTCTCTCTCTCTCCCTCTCTCTCTTTCTGTTGTTGCTTAATGTTCTAGCGACCCGCTCTGTATAATTGCTCGAGTGTGCGTGCGTGTGTGTGTGTGTGGCTCATATTTGAGGCAGGCGAGTTGAATTTCTTGAATTAATAAAATGTCTTCATTATTTAAATTGCACGCACGACCACAGGCGTAACCCACCCGAATGTGGTGCTCAAACAAACCCACCAACATATGTACACCACACACACACACACACACACACTCGTGTCTGGTCGTTTGCCGTTGTTGGTGTGGCCAAGTTAATTAGCAGCTGGGGAATTGTGAAATATATTAATATTGTACACTTTGGTAGTTGAGTCCCTTTTGCGCCCCCGCCCCAGCAATCGACCCCGGCCAGCAGGAAAAAAGAAAACATAAACAAAAAGCCGCGCGACTGTCGCCCTTTTCGACCGCACTGGGACACGGGCGACCGCAGCTCCATATG